ATCGAGTATTGGAAGAAGTGAAGGTCCAGATAACATAATTGACAATGCATCCACATGGCAAGCAGGAGTTGTGGATTCGAGTCCCACTTCGAGCAGATTCTTTTCTTCTGGAACTTACTAAATTTAATAATTAATTTAGAAAGAGATAGTGCTTAATGCTTACCTCTAGATCAAATTACTTGACATTTAATTAGCAATTAGTAGCATTAATGTAGCTAGAAATGATTGTCTGGCATTAATCTAAAAATCAGGTTCATGGATGTTTATATTTGTACGACTTAAAATTATGAAATTAAAAATTATATATGTTATTACAACTGATTACATATAGGTTTGATACAAGATTGATAATCATATTTAGGCTTTCTGTAATGTATATTTATAATTTTGAAGATATTATCTGCATTCTAGGTGTAACCTATATTTAATTTTAAAATGACTAAGTTAAAAAAACTTTAAGAGATATCTAGTTTAAGAAAGAATGCAGCATTTTCTAGTTTATAAAAGTACAATTTAAAATTATTATAAAAAAAAAATTTGTAACCAATTAAGAATCACCTATTGTCAAGAGTTTTCAACATGAAAAAATAACAGAAAAAGCAGATGATAAAAACCCTACATTTTATACACAGTCTTAAAAAATTAATTGATGTTTACTTAAGATAAGAACTTCACAATAACTTTCTTCCTCTAAAAAAATATTTCAAGGAGGGGAAAAAGTTACTTTTAAGAACATTCATCTACAGAAATCATCTCATTAAAAAATTTTTTAAACTAATTTTTCTACTAATCTCAATTATATGATTTATTCACACACATACAAATTTTAAGTACATGTGTCATCATTCTGATAAGACTATGGAATAAGCAGTTCGAGTAATATATTTGCAAATATATGCAACCTTGACAGAATGCAGTATGGAGTTCAAAATACTGCCAAATGCATTCAGATTGTTTAATGGCTCATAGTTTTTAAAAATTTTATAATTCTAAGCCTCTCCTACTAAATTAATTAACCAAATATAAAAAATAATAAAAATTAATAATTCTTATTGTTCCAGAAAAGTTCCATTATCTTAACTTTAATAAAAAGACACTAAAAAAGAAAAATCTTCAAATTACATAAACTTAAAAAAATATATTTATAATATTTATTTTTAGAAGTTTACAATTTGAATGGGAATATTTATTACTTCTATGATATTTTGCTGAAAATTCTTTAATAGTAAGCATTAAAAAATTATTATTTTATACAGAAATATGAGATCAAAATGTAAGGATCTTTAATCTTTATATTTTTNTTGAGAAAAAGTAATTATTGATCAGTTTCTAACAAATGGTTTGTTGTTCAACTGATTCCTAATTATTCAAACAACAAATGCATATTCTGAATTTATTGAGAAACTTTTTAAAATATTCAGAATTATTTTATAGTACAAATGTAATAAATAAATATGAATTAAGCACTCTGTTAGAAGATAACAATTTTAACTGTTTTTTTTCTTAAGTAAAAAAAAAGGTCATCAAAATTTGTGCAAAAACCAACAAAAGTTTCATATTACATAAATGGTCGAAATTTTCATTATAAACTTTGACTATTAAATGTGGAACCCATCAGTGGCAAGTGAATAAAACCATCCAACACCAGAAGCTGATCGTGGGTCTGTGCCTTGTCAATATGCTGACCATATGGAATTTTCTAGGTTTTTGTATGTTTGTAACATCTAAATGGGGCTAGTCTCTCATAAAATGTCCTTCCTGGGAAGCATTCTTCTTGGCAGATTGTATATGGCAATGCTACTTGATGACAAACAAATCAAGTTACACTGTCTTGATATCAGACACACATTAAAAAGACTTTTAATTAACAAAAAACTTTCTAAATACAAGAAATGTTTAGTTTAAAAATATAGCATCTATGCATCTTCTTAAAAAGTAAGACTTGTCTTTAGTCTGAAGTACTTATAAGTTATGCATGTATGTTATACAATTTTAGTACTGCCTTTTTCTGTAGATTATTAAAGAATAGAAGGTATAAATGAGTCTCATACATAAACAAATTATGATAACTCATAATAATTCATGAAGCTAGACTTATTTATAATAAATTATATTTTTTGGAGGACTGTTAGCAACTATGCTTTTTATTATAGAAAAAAAATTTAAAATATGTAGAAAAAATATATATATATAAAGTAAATTATAAAAATTTTTGTTCATTGTTTCTAACATTTATTATTTCATAATAGAAAAAAAATTAAGCATTAGAAGAATTTTTGGTTCTTAGAAAGAGAATAAGTCTAATTGATGTTAATGCTTCTACATATGTAAATTATTAATACAAAAATTTATTTAATGCAGTATTAAATTTTTTGCATAATTCTGACATAAAATTTCTAGGAATCAATATTCATAGAATATTCTGAGTACATTTATCAAAAGTACATATGACTGAGTACATTTAAATACAAAATAAAAAAAGTGGGTTAAGTATTTCATTAACCTGTTAAAAATGTAATAAAATATTAAAATTAACACAAGTTTCTGATTTTTGAAAACAGGATAATTTAAAGTATGGTTCCTCACATAATTTTTTAAAATTAAAAGTTTATGATGATTTATGATGGATAGTAATACATTCGGACATCTCTCACTTCTTACTCATGTAGATGATCCCAGTGTGGATCATGTTCTCCCACATAGCTAAATATTTTTAGGTAATTAGGCCTACATTAAAAATCAAAATAAATTAGAAAGCAAGCCATTACCAAAATATTTTAAAATCAATTGTACATGTAAAATTAAAATTCTGTAAAGGCAAGAGATATATTTACTGCCATTTTAAAGTATACTGTAACATTTACTTTAAAAGAAAAAAATATTTTAGGACATTGTAACCATTACTAAACAATATTAAAGAAGCTAAGACATCAACAGATCAAAGTTTTTATTAAATTTAGAAAGATCAAATGATAACCATAAGGGGAAAAAAAGTTTATATTTTCTTGAATTTATAAACAAAAATGCATTAAAAAGTCAAAAAAATGGTTGCTTAGTCTTTCAAGGTATAACCATAAATCTGCACTTAAATAATTAATGTCTGATTATTTGCACAAGTGATCGATAAAAATATTTCTACTGCACCTTTTCAAATACAATCTAAATTGGATGATGATAAATACTGTTGTTATATATATATATATAAAATCAATTTTCATGATAAATTTCAATGAAATCTTTTGAAACTTGTAAAATATTTTATAAACCTATACACTTTTACAGGGATAGTAGGAAGAATAAATCTTACTATTAATTATGAGATTTAATAATAAACTTTATATAATTATGTAAGAACATTTGTATTGAAGTGTTTGCATGTTAGCTCATTATTACTTCTCTTTATAATTTAGATGATGAATTAGAAATTGCTTTTATACATTGAGATTTATGACTAAAGAAATTTTAATATATATCTCTTTTTGAATCTCTATCAAAAGATACGAATTACATGAAATTGAGTTCCCATACTAAACATTGTTTATATTCTCTGATAATTTTTTCAAAAACTACAGTTAACACAAGGTCATTTTCTGTTATAAAAATCAAATTCTTCAATTTAAAATTTTTCTATACAAAATTAAATATTACTGAAATAAGATTCTCAAATTTTATTTCTGATGGCGATTACTCATTTTACACAGTAATGTTTTGTAATTAAATAAATAACGGATTCAAGTTCAGGAGTTGATGTTTTATTATTAATTATTTTTTTTATTTTATAAAGATTTAAATCATACAATGATGAAATAACTTCAAAATTTTAAAAAAGGGGCAAACTAATAAACATATTAAATGATATATATTTACAATTAAACTGGATTTTTCCAACATATTGTGACATCAATAATAAATTCAACATTAAATATTTCAGAAGAGAAACTGATACAATAGTAATTGAAAGTAATTTGAAATGTTTAAAAACTATTCAACAGATTGTTTATGTTAACAGAAAGGTCAATCACTTGTCAACAGGAAACAAGAGAACAAAAGAAGCCTTGAAAATTCAAGTAATTCAAAACAATCAATTTAGAACAAATCACTAATGTAACTATTTGTTTAATAAGTAATTAAAACAAATAACATTAACAATGTAAATATATGAAAAGGAGAACATAAAGTGGTAATTGACTTTTTAACCTAGTTCTATACAAAAACATAAATAAAAAAAAAGAAAAATCAATAAAATAACAAATCACCATCAATATAACAATCATTAAATTTGTTCCAATTTTAATATTAAAATATTTAGAATCAAGATTATGAAGGGTGAAGTATTATGGAATTAATTGAAATTTAAAATTACAAATTACTTTGGGAATAAGTTAATACAAAAATTAGCAACAGTCATTACTGTAAACAAGGAAATAAGATTAAAGTTTACTTCAAAAGCTTCCCTCTTACTAGCATTAGAAATAGTTATTATTAATATCTGTAATACATATTTACATAAGTAATTTTTAGAATATGTTCTGTATTCCTGATGCCAGAAAATATGAAATAAACATCTTCAAATTATTTTTTCAGTTAATTATCTGCAAATAACTGGAAATAGATAGATAGTCTCGATGGGATATTTTCAGAGCAAGCAATCTTTTTCTAACCAACTATAGGGAGAGAATGCTAAAAACATGTCTTTAAATTAGTAAAAAGTGTAAACATTGTTTATGTCAAAAGTAAATATCAAATGTCAAATATGTGAATTTGATAAACTTCAATGAATTACTTATATATTAGACTTCTCTGAATAAACATTTGGAGGATCCATTTAAAAAAAAATTATATTAAAATATGTACATGGACAAGCCATAGTTTTATATGACATTACACACGAACCAAAGTTTAATAATAAAATAAATAAATCTATATCAAATTTTTAGAAGTTAAAGTAATTAAAAACAAAAATTAAACATTACAAATTTTTAAAAAAGAAATGACATTACCTCTTCTACAAGATGATCTGGAGGTAGCTGTTGAATGGCTGCCCAATATAAAGATTGTTCACGTTGTTTCACATGAGGTTCGAGAAAAAAGTGTGCTTTTATACCTAATGGCACTAAAATTAGATTTTCCAAACGATTATCCATACTAATACCGTTTTTATGTATCACTCTAAAACCAGGAGCAATACCACCATAATGTCTTTCCCTATTAATACAAAAAAGAAAAATCAAATATTTAGAAAACATGTCGTCAATAATATACATGTAGTTCTTACTTTATATAAAAATAAATAAAAACTAACAATTTTTAAAAATAGGAGAATTTTTCATTCTATAATAATTATATATTTAGAAAATTAGAATATATGATGTATTTATTATTAATAATTTGTATTTTATAGATGTTCATTTATAAATTATTAAGATTGGTTTTCCAAATTCATCATCATCATCTTCAAGTGAAAATTACACTAGAATTTCAAAACAAGACAAAACTGCACATGTATTACAGTAATATACCACTTAATAATAATATAATTGTAATAAAAGTAAGTTTAATGCAGCAATTAAACTGAAGCTATCTAAATATAAAAGTCAACTCTTTTAATATTAAAAAGTCAAATTATATATATATAATATATATAAACTGTTTTTTGACCTAATTTTAATAATATTCTTAGTTAGTTTTGTACTAATTGTATGACAAAGTTTCGGACTTCAAGATCACATTTAATCTTATCTAAGCATTTTATTACTATTGGCAAATCATTAACAAGCAGGATAAACTAATTTGTATCAACATCGATAATCATATCAAGAAAAAAAATAATTTGGATAAAACGATTAATTTCAAGAGATATTTTTTAGAAAAAGCCTTCCGTTTCATGTAAAATTAATACAACTTAAAAATAATTTTGTAGCTAAAGTTTGATATAATGACACAATTAAGGTAATAATAAAGCACTTAACTTGCTTTTTTCTATGCACAAAATTTCTCTTTGGTTGCATTGTACACATTTATCGCTGTATAAAAAGTAGATAATAGCTAAGATATTTATTCGACCATTCATAAGTTAACAAATTTCATACATCTTCATAAATATTAATAAGTATTTCTGTATTATTTACAAACATTGCAACATCTTTCCTCCATAACAGAACAAAGCATTCTCCATTGGCAAAAGTGGGAGATGAGATAAATAAAAAAAATTAGAGATAAGAACGTTTTCAAATTTAATACTTTACTATAAAATTTATTTTTCACAATTATTGAACAAATAAACAAATGTTGAGTGATCATAAAACAAATTATAAATGATAAGAATCAAAAGAACATTTTAAATATTCTCTTAAGGGTATATTTAAAAAACAAAATTTAGCTTTTTATCTAGATATTTATTATAATTACAATACCATTGTTCTAGAAATATGAAGCACAGTTCTTCAAAGATCAAATTTCTGGAACAAAATTTAGCTGTACGAGATTTTTGATAAGAATGATTTTCTATTAAAACAAGTATAAAAACCTAGAAATTATCAAAAGAGAATAGTGTACAAAGTCTATTAATCATCATCATCATAATTTAGAATGTTATAATACAATAAACATGTTAGAATTTTCAAAAGATAAAGTTAAACTGCTTCAAAAATACCTAGTTATATTAAATTTCTCTACAATTCACACTCTTCTATGCTTTATTTTTCTCATTATATATCAACCAATATTATATTATTATTCAGTAGGTCTACAGATACAAACTGATCAATAGAAAGCATATGTAATCAAAGACTCGTCTCGAGTAAATAAATATTTTCAATACGTCTTTTGCAGAACATGCCTTTAAATTTTATTACCAATTACATCAAAAAATTCAAAAATCAATAATATATACAACAATTTTCCAACACTTGAATTTCAACATTCTATAATATAAATAAGATAAAGTATTCCATTAATCTTTAAATCAAGATATATTAAAGAAATTTACACTGATAATTAGTTTAGCCAATGTAGAACTACTACTGCATTATAATGAATAACAAAAGAAATTCCTGATTGGGTAAACTAAAAAAAAAAAAAAATATACCACCAGCAATACAAATTCGTTTTAAATTTCTTGGTTTAAAGATTAGAAAAAAACAGGAGACAAAAGAAAAAATATGAAGAAACTATATACTATTTCATTGAAGAGTCAGGATGACTCAAGACCTTAAAGCATCAGCCAATCACGCAGAAGGCATTTTCTCATACTTTGTCTTGATCGACCTTATGTGGTTCTGGATTTTCTTTGCCATTTCATCCCACCAATTCCAATGTCCATTTAGTCACCTACCTATTAAATGAATACCTGGGGATGATTCCAATGGAATAAAAAGGCAACCGGAATGCAGATCTAGCCCCATTGTCTCTTAACATCACTGGCTTCAGAAGAGTGGATCTGTACACTCATTGTTCCTATATGCCTAAAGAGTATATGAAGAGAGACTGTTACCTTTTACACTATTTCCTTAAGTACACCATCTTTAGAAAAATCAAAAATTTCTAGTAATCATTTTAGAATTATGACAAGATTATCAGAGTTTCACCTAAAAGGTATAATTAAGAATTTTCTTTAAAAAAATTCATTTTTGAATCAAACTTTTTATAAAAATGGAAAAAGTAATATGTAATAATCAAAATTTATTCTTTAGAAAACACACTCATTTAATTTTAGATATCTTTTACACACTGATAATTATAACATTTAATTTCATTATTAATAGAATATTTATTACAAAGTCCACTTTTTTAATCTCAATTTGTTCACAGCAATAAATCTCGATTACATAATTTTCAAGCTCTTTCATGCGATAAAATTTAAGTGTTTTTAGCCTTTACACTATTAAAAAACACACGTTTTAATATATAATTATATAATAAAAAGCTAAAAATTAAAAGTCTACACACTGATTTCTAATAATGACACAAGGTTATATCTAAATCGAGTATTGGAAGAAGTGAAGGTCCAGATAACATAATTGACAATGCATCCACATGGCAAGCAGGAGTTGTGGATTCGAGTCCCACTTCGAGCAGATTCTTTTCTTCTGGAACTTACTAAATTTAATAATTAATTTAGAAAGAGATAGTGCTTAATGCTTACCTCTAGATCAAATTACTTGACATTTAATTAGCAATTAGTAGCATTAATGTAGCTAGAAATGATTGTCTGGCATTAATCTAAAAATCAGGTTCATGGATGTTTATATTTGTACGACTTAAAATTATGAAATTAAAAATTATATATGTTATTACAACTGATTACATATAGGTTTGATACAAGATTGATAATCATATTTAGGCTTTCTGTAATGTATATTTATAATTTTGAAGATATTATCTGCATTCTAGGTGTAACCTATATTTAATTTTAAAATGACTAAGTTAAAAAAACTTTAAGAGATATCTAGTTTAAGAAAGAATGCAGCATTTTCTAGTTTATAAAAGTACAATTTAAAATTATTATAAAAAAAAAATTTGTAACCAATTAAGAATCACCTATTGTCAAGAGTTTTCAACATGAAAAAATAACAGAAAAAGCAGATGATAAAAACCCTACATTTTATACACAGTCTTAAAAAATTAATTGATGTTTACTTAAGATAAGAACTTCACAATAACTTTCTTCCTCTAAAAAAATATTTCAAGGAGGGGAAAAAGTTACTTTTAAGAACATTCATCTACAGAAATCATCTCATTAAAAAATTTTTTAAACTAATTTTTCTACTAATCTCAATTATATGATTTATTCACACACATACAAATTTTAAGTACATGTGTCATCATTCTGATAAGACTATGGAATAAGCAGTTCGAGTAATATATTTGCAAATATATGCAACCTTGACAGAATGCAGTATGGAGTTCAAAATACTGCCAAATGCATTCAGATTGTTTAATGGCTCATAGTTTTTAAAAATTTTATAATTCTAAGCCTCTCCTACTAAATTAATTAACCAAATATAAAAAATAATAAAAATTAATAATTCTTATTGTTCCAGAAAAGTTCCATTATCTTAACTTTAATAAAAAGACACTAAAAAAGAAAAATCTTCAAATTACATAAACTTAAAAAAATATATTTATAATATTTATTTTTAGAAGTTTACAATTTGAATGGGAATATTTATTACTTCTATGATATTTTGCTGAAAATTCTTTAATAGTAAGCATTAAAAAATTATTATTTTATACAGAAATATGAGATCAAAATGTAAGGATCTTTAATCTTTATATTTTTAAAATAATTCATACATAACAGATCAACACTTCAAAAAAAAAAAAAAAAAAAAAAAAAAAAAAAAAAAAAAAA